GAGCTGCGCCATGCAAAACGCAGCCAATCCGACACGCCTCAGCGACTGTAGCGAAAACCACTGTAGCTAATGACGGATTACTCACCTTAAGTATTGCTGCCAATTTCGTTACAATCTCCGCCTTCGTCATATCACCACATTTCTGCTTAATCTTTGCCAGCAACTCTTTCGTTGTGTGCGGCTTACGGCGCAGATATTTACGAACCGTCTCTTCGTTCAAGCCCTCCGGTACTCTGAAAGAATCATCAGGAATACTGTAGATCTATTTCAGAGAAGAGGGATGTCTTACAATGGTGTTTCAACTTTGGGCCTCTTCGCATCGTTCGCCGCTTCCGTTCCTGATGTTTCCGTCTCTGCCGGCCGCTTTTTGCCCACTCCACTACCGCTAGGCTCTGCCACATTCACGACGTCTTTCTTCTGAAAGGTTTTATCAATTAATCAAAATTCATCGAAAAAATTAAAAGGAAAATCTAAGCTGATTATACGTCAAATAAATTTGAGATCAGACGCTTCACACGTGAACCGTAAAGTTCCGGAAATCAAAAAGGGAAAGAACCTATCGCTTACACCCGACGTCATCGTACGGTTGAAATTAAAATTGATCCATTCAGATACTGTACCAGCGCGAGTCCACTAGTCATCGACAACTCGAGTTTATTTTTGGCTTACAGTATAATCCCTTTATTTGTAGCTCAAATGACATTCACCCGGCATCGAACATCGAAAGTTAGGGCTTCCGCCAATGAGCAACCCCTTTTTGGATGGGGCATGCACCTGACAGAATACTTAGTTTGCCTGTGAGAGAGTCGATCCAGGGTACAACCCCTTATCTGGCGCATGGTGAAAGAGCCTCTTGCCACCACAGCACAACAGAACCAACTTCTTCAAGCCAGCGGTACAATGACTTCTAAACGCGAACCATATGACGAATTTTAAGGGCCAGCCCACATAAATCCAGGGTCTTTTGATTCTGCAAAAAATTCTGGTTTCGATCAACTGCTCTTCGAAAGATGAAAGGTTAGAATATCTCCATGAGGAAACGCTCGGATACTTCACCTCACACGTGGTAAAGGTACCGCCGTCTTTCGCTGCTTCACCTCTCCGAACCAACCACACAGTCAACATCAAAAATAAAAGAGAAAACGAAAACGTACCGGCATAAACACGACGGAATCAATCTTCTCTTTATCTGGGTCATCAGTATCAGATCCGAAGAATCTAAAATGAATCTGAAAATTTAACTGGTATGAAAAACACGGCGTGTCACAAGTATGGGACACCCCAAATTCGTGCTATTCCAATTTCGCTAGATCTTTCAGGAAGTGTGACTACCTAAACATTCCCCACGCCTGTCTTTTGCCACTTTCTCCTGAAATAATTTCATCTCAAATGACTAGGTGATTCTGTTTATAACTAACTAAACTCTATCCATAACTACAGCGGCAGAGAAGCTAGCATGACCTTGTATTGATGTAGGACGGCTTTTGTTATTGTTGCTTCCTTTTTAACCGCTTAAACTCTTTGAACTGTCACCCCTTTTGTCCCTTCGCGAAGCTGGGAGCTGGACGTCGACAGTGGTACCGGACCTACTGAGTTGGTGTGCGACCTCGGAGGAGTGTCTGTGCGAGCCTGCAGTGTTGGCGACGACTGCCCCGCGGCACTGACTCTCCACTCCCGTCCGCAGGCTTTGCCCCATTGTCTAACTTTCACCTATCAAAGACTCATTTTTTTGGTTTTTTTTTGGTATTTGGCTCTGTTGATGTAATTTTTCATCCGATAATGAATCGTTCAATCCATGATTCAGATACTTCCAAGGACATTGCTTTGCCATTTTACAAAAACTTCCTATTTCATATCACTTATACTCGGAACATTGGAACAGCTTCAACTCCCCAGCTAGACAGTCAAAATGAGCAGAGACTTGCCTTGAAGCTGCCTTACTCGTTCTTTGAACCTGCCATCGCAACGCATCCTGTAGGCTACACATTCAGAACTGCACGTGCGCGTGAAAAGCGTGCCCCCCCCCCCCTACACCACCTCCGCATCCGAAGTGAAATTATTTCAGAGGGGAGCCGAGGTTCTTCGACATAGGGAATGCAGTGGGAACCACTGTACTCTCCGGAATACACAGCAAGCACGTTATAGCAAAAACTTGGGGCCCAGCAAAATATAGGAAACTAACCTCTCTCTTCAATATCTAGGTGCTCTTTTTTCCTATCGTTCTCATTATGCAGCAGTTTCTTCGCTAAACAAGTCAGAAATAATACCACACAATGGTGCTATATTAAGGGACTAAAAACAACTGAAAAAGTTCAATCTAGTCTAAAAGAGAACAACTGGAGTGTCTACATTATTAGAAGGTGTCAGAGAGATCCAACATTTGAAAGGCACTTACTAAGATCCTCTTCGTCACTGTCTGTCTCCTCATCTGATTCCATCATTTTCTTGAGACCAACCTCGTCACCAACACCGACTAGCTGCTTTTCGATCTTCTCATCTCCAGGAACAATTTCTCGCCTGAAGTTCTGCACTTGTTTCGATGCTTTCAGCGTTTCTTATTCAATATTTAGCCAAAATATCTGACCATCAAAGAGCATTGAATGGTTTTCTGAACTTTTAGCCAAGTGAACGTTTCCACTGCCACATAACGGGTATTCAGACAACATACAAGCACAAAAAGACCGATCAGAGCACAGAACAAATTGTCTTGTCAAAATATCCGGTTTTCTGGGAGAGGGTCGCGTAGCACGTTGGAAAAAACTTTAGAGGCTAGCCAGAACGAGACCTTGTGGAACCGTCTACTGGAACATGAAGATGACGATGAAGAAGAAGACTATCTTTAACAATCAACTATTTCCACCTCGAAATCCCGAAAAAACACATAGACTTGCTTCCTGCAAGTTTTCCGAGCCCCCGTCACTCGCGGCCCGGTGCTAATTAGAGACACTGGGGTCGAGATTCTTTCTTATCTGAATCGACAAATCGGCCAGATACCAGATAGTGCCTACTATGATGATTGGTGTTTGAATCCCTTAAAGAAAAAGAGGAGCATGGATTGGTTGGTTACCCTTGAAGGATTAATGGGACAGACGCTTTTCGACATTCCAAATGAAAGTCGGGACATTTTGAAAATCCAGCCTAACTTACCCTTTATCTATAAGACACATCAATGAACCGGGCGTGTGAAATAGAGGCCCGCAGGCGTAACCATAAAGACACATTCGCATTGCTGACTAAACTTCGCAATACAGGGGGAGGGCGGCTAAAAAAAAGGTTGCTTTTCGGCGAGCCGAGCCACATATCAACGAAGTTTTCGCAGCCCAGACAGGGGAAGTGGATATGAGTACCAGAGTGGAAGATACCCAAGATCTTCCTCTATAAGCTGGAGCACGCTGCCGCCAATCGCCTTCATGTACGCCAAAATATGAAGTCATCTCCAGTCGCGGCCTGACTGGAGAACACCTTTGGAATTCACGTCGCCTCCGAACAGCTGCGAAACTTCTTGAATGAAGTCATCAGATAGCTACCTGGAGGTCAGTACTCTTGACCTGCAAGACCTCCCACATCGACCAGCTACGGCAACGTCGCTACGGTCTAGGACATCATCTTCACCGTATTCGCCGAGGCGCGAGTTGATGGTATGGACCGGGGTACCTGGAAAGGGGAAGACCGATATTTTCTTTGTAGACCCCGACTGAAGGTGAGCGCTGGGCGAGTTACATCAAGTAACTCGAGAAGAATATCTTCCATACATGTGGTGCGCCCCGTACCCTTCTTGGGGAGACCTTGTGCTGCTAGCACAGGTTTGGGTGCCACCACATGGAATCAAAGGGTTTTGGAAAAACTCCCGCCTACTTCGAATGGAAGGGCGTTTCGTACCTGAAGAAGATGTAATATTGAAGTATGTCCCCTGACCTCGAACCCACTCAATTGACTTAGGCTCGGGCGCGACTTAAAGCAGGGGTGGCTACCGGGGCTGCGTAGAAATCGACGCATCTGCGCTCAAATCCGGGTAACCACTCCTCACTTTCGCGCGGCCGAATCTCTCGATGGCGCTCCTCCAGAAGGCTGTGGCGGAGTATCATTATAGTATTTAATGTGCTCTTTAATATGGTAGTAAAATGTCCGATAAAAATTTAATAAAGTGTAACTTATAGCGCCTTGAAAGTCATGGAGGCAAAATGACTTTTTTTTGGCCCCCCTGTATAACGCACCGGGATAGACAGCAGTGCCAAGTGGCCTGAAAACTGACTACTTTCCTCGTCATACGAGGTTGTTAGATCACCTTTATTGGCTCAAGTTCGGCGGGACTGACTTAAGAGCCTGGAAAGAAAAGTTATGACCACCCGTTCGAAAGTCACTACCACCTAACTGAAGTTAGAAATCAAGATAGACTATCACGCAATTGTAGGAGAGGCCACACACCATACAGTCTTGCTCGGAATAGAAGAGGCGTGTCAGAAGGGACGTTCTGGGTAGGGACGGCCCAACCGCGTCTCCTTACAGTAATTTAAAAGCAAGCAAGTCTACAAAGACTGAGTCTTACCGTTCGGTAGAAGTCGATTTTTCTATGCCAGTTGTTGTCCGGCCTAACGCGCTTCATATTGGGAGACATTTTTTAGGCGCCGTGCGCATACCCATCCTTCCTAATCTCAATTCGCAGAAACAAAGACCGTTACAGCAATCTGACACCTCCGAGACCGCCAGCCTAAGACTGATTCGAGCTGTTGTCTCTTAGGACTACGACTGCAAATAGCTACCCAAACATAAGGTTCTCGGAAGAGCTTATTGTGAAGCCATTCTCCCCTCCGGTCCGTCCTGATCATGCGAAGCCACATGGCACTTCTTAAGCAGGGTGTACATTCAGTTCGTGTCTGCTCATTCTGGACCTCGTTATTTATGTAGAAGACCACCTCATAACTCATACCATCACAAATACAGGGTCAGAGTGCCGTAGAAATTCCGTTACCTTTTCTGAACACACTTTAGAATGCCACTGGGCACTTTTACGGATGGAATCGATAAGCATCTTTCTCCCATCATTTAGGCTCTGAGCTCTAAAAGTGCAATATGTCCTTGACATCCTTGTCCAGATGACTTATAAAGGTTCTGATCTGAACTCCATTGTCATTAGATTATATTCCAGATCCGTCAATTAATCGACGAAGACCTTGTTCGGACGGGCCTCCCATCCAAAGATCCCCCGCAACGCCGCCGCGATTAACGCAAATGAACGAGGACATACTTGTGACGCTCTCTCTCGCAGAGAACACCCACGTCGTCATCACTCGGCTCGCCATGCACTTTATGGATTTATTCCGTTGAACCGCGCTTACCTTTGTTTCATACCACTTTGTGCAGTGAATGCAATCTTTTCCACCTCCTCTATTTTTGAATTTTTTTTCTCTCCTTGTTGCTATTCGGGCTTCATCCTCGATTCTGTTCACCACTGTAAGACGTCAAAACTTGTTTTCAATGATCACTGATCAAGCTCCTCTGAAAACATGTTCTCACACACGGTTTCATCACTTCGGTTGATCGGCTAGTCTTCCTTACTGAATTCAAATTTCCATTTCACACCCCTACTTCTTCTAGAAAATCTAAATTCTAATTCACTTCCGTTCTCTCGTAAGGCCTCAAGTAGTATGAAGTGCTCACTTGGCTACAATTAAAGATTCCAAGAATTTCGCGAGCATAGCAGAAAACATACTAGTGAAGTAAATGAGAAAATTTCGGCTACGATAATTTCACAGACTCACTTGTACCAGCTAGTAGATGCTCTAGAGCGTATAGTACAGTTCGCTGCGGACGAAGGGGCGTGTCAGGCGGGATAAGTTTGAAGGCGGCCATGAGGAGGCCAAACCCGTTCCTGACCAGTTGTTAAAGGGAACAAGTGGGGAGTCTGTATATTCGTACCACTCGTTTTCTACCAACTGTTGTCGCATACCCGCTTCACAACTGGCAGAGAACGGGTTTGGCGCTGTGGTACACTCGTACTGCCCCCTTCATCTGCGGCGAACTAGAGTGTATACCCATGAGTAGATCCCAAACTGCACGTCGTGCCAGAGTTCTGGTACAGGGAGTTAGGGTTGCCGAAAAATTTGTAAAGAGGTCAGATTCTATTCCACATATGTTCTCCAGCACCCCGACATTTGTTCTTGTTCTCGAGATCGATTCTTTAAACCCATTTTCGTTAACCTTCACCCTGATGTGTCCATGTGTGTTCGCTGCGGATGAGGGGGTGTTTCAGGGAGATGGGTTTGGCGCGGCGTCAGCCCATCCCCCTCACGAGAACTTGACACGCCCCATCGTCCGCAGCGAACAAGACTGTATCATTTCATGTTTAACACGTAACAAAAAAGATACAGCATTCACCCTCAGAGGAACATTTTTCCACGCCACGAGAAAAGGCACAACACTTTGTTCCGAAACATTTGTCTTTACTGCAAGCAACGCCCT